AAGATTTTGGGGCTTGGGGGAATGCGTGGACTTAAATGTTTAGAAGACTGCTACTGTAGGAGAGGGATTGCTGTTGTTCTCTTTTGCCCTGGAGCCTCATGTAACAGCAAACAGTAATGGTGAGAGCTGTCCAAAACCAGAATGGAGTTTCTGGAGGGACCGGATGGTCTCTTCACTGCCAGGTGTAGACATAGAAGGGATGCTTAGGAGATAGGAGGGTCCTGGAGTCTTGAAGCATCTGACAGGGAGGTGGCTCAGACAGCCTCGGGCTCTTGCAGGGCTATTATCCCTCCAGGAAATGGACTTGTGATGACAAAGCCTGAGTTTTCCTGGATGACTGTCTCCTCTACTCTACTCTTTGAAGGTAGAATTTGTTCCTATCAGAGTCAACTTTTCCTATTGCCAAGTGTTGTGCTTTTCACAGAATGCATATCAATAAATGTTTGCCCGAATGATTTCATATGTATCAGGAAGACTGGGAAGACTAATTTCCTGTATAAATTATTAAATACTGAGGATAAAGTAATCTTTTCTACTGNGAGCTGTCCAAAACCAGAATGGAGTTTCTGGAGGGACCGGATGGTCTCTTCACTGCCAGGTATAGACATAGAAGGGATGCTTAGGAGATAGGAGGGTCCTGGAGTCTTGAAGCATCTGACAGGGAGGTGGCTCAGACAGCCTCGGGCTCGACTCGAGGAAGGCAGGCCCCTTCTGCTACTTGATGAAGTGCCTACCAGCTCCCACCTAGATTTTTTTTTTCTATTGGCTTATGTCTGAAGGACCCTGGCTGTGTTAACAGTGTTACAGACAGAATGACTGCAATGGAACTTGAACTCCTGTCATTATGAAGAACCTGAGGGTGACTATCAGTAAGATTTTGGGGCTTGGGGGAATGCGTGGGCTTAAATGTTTAGAAGACTGCTACTGTAGGAGAGGGATTGCTGTTGTTCTCTTTTGCCCTGGAGCCTCATGTAACAGCAAACAGTAATGGTGAGAGCTGTCCAAAACCAGAATGGAGTTTCTGGAGGGACCGGATGGTCTCTTCACTGCCAGGTGTAGACATAGAAGGGATGCTTAGGAGATAGGAGGGTCCTGGAGTCTTGAAGCATCTGACAGGGAGGTGGCTCAGACAGCCTCGGGCTCGTGCAGGGCTATTATCCCTCCAGGAAATGGACTTGTGATGACAAAGCCTGAGTTTTCCTGGATGACTGTCTCCTCTACTCTACTCTTTGAAGGTAGAATTTGTTCCTATCAGAGTCAACTTTTCCTATTGCCAAGTGTTGTGCTTTTCACAGAATGCATATCAATAAATGTTTGCCCAAATGATTTCATATGTATCAGGAAGACTGGGAAGACTAATTTCCTGTATAAATTATTAAATACTGAGGATAAAGTAATCTTTTCTACTGTATCCACCTAACTAGGTAGCAATGATTTTTTTTTTTCCCCTAAAGGACAAGTGGTCTGAGACTCACTGTTTTTAGTAACATTTGTCTCACAGAAAACCAATTTTTTAACAATTAATTAAGGTAGGTGTTGCTGCCAACAAAAAGACAATACTTAAGGGTGTAGTCTTTGAATCCAGACTACCAGGTGATTTGAATAGCAACTTCACGATTAATTAGTATGACAATGTGTGACCCAGCACATAAAGTTAATTTTGAATCCAGACTACCAGGTGATTTGAATAGCAACTTCACGATTAATTAGTATGACAATGTATGACCCAGCACATAAAGTTAATAAGAAGATTTAATAAATGAATATATGTCAGTTCCTAAACATCCCTTGCTGCTGTGGATCCAATGTCCCCCCAAAACTCACTGAAGCTTGACCCTGATTGTAACAGTGCTGAGAGGGTAGGAAATCTGATTACAGTATTTGAAAGGTGGGGCCTTTAAGAAGTGATTACATTAGAAGTGTACTAACGGTGCCCTGAATGGAATTGATCCATTCATAGGGTAATGGGTGTGGTTCTGATGATTTTTATAATGAGGGCAAGTAAGATTAGCTCACTCTTGCTCTGCCATTATCTTGCCATGTGATACCCTGAATTACTGTAGAGAGTTACCACCTAGAAGAAGGCCTTCACCAAATGTGTTCCCTGGACTTCAGACTTCCCAGCCTCTGAAACTGTAAAAAATAAATTTAATTCCTTTATAAATTACCCAGTTTCAGGTATTCTGTTATAAGCAATAGAAACGGTCTAATACACTTCCATAGAATAAGTGGTCAATAAGTATAGGAGCTGGCAAAGCTCACAGGACATAATCACAGAAGAATTACATTTGTTCTCCTGCTGTGCAGAATTTAGGAGATCTTGTTCCACTGTCTTCTCATATTGGGCATTGTGCTACTCTTCCTAATATGACTTATATCATTTGATTATCTGTATTTCATCATTAAGTAATCTGTTTTCTAGAAGAGCTCATGAGGTATAGCATATACTGAACGTTGCCTACACAACAGCCGATACTGCCTTCTTCTGTGCTGGCAGAGTCCTGATGGGATTCTTTCATCTACCTCTCTACCTCTTAATGCAGGTAAATCCTAGTTACTCTAAGACAATAATTATGGTCATACTTCCTAACAACTTCTTTTTCTATCTCAAGATGTTACAGTGAGGGGGTGTAATGCCTACAGCGGCTACAGACATCTTATGACGTGAAGGAAGTCATTGAACGTTTTTAGTATGACAGCTCCAAAAGACAGAAAGTCCATCAAAGACTGATCCTTGATGATGCCACCGGGCCACTGAGATAATCAGCCCTGAAAGTGCCTCCCCTCTATTCCTGGTGTTAAGGGATATTAAAAATCTTCTCATTGTTTAAGCCATTGGACATTGGGTTTTCTATTATTTGCATTTGTTACCATGCCAATTTATACATGAGTGCTATATTTCCTGAGGGCTTTCATATTTGGGAATATTAACTTGAGTAGGAATATTCTTAGGTCACACTCTGGTCCATGAACTTTATAAATACAACTTCCTTTTCATCCGACATTAAAAGTTACTGTGGAGAAATCTGAGGCTAGCCAGATTCGCCCTACCACTTCTCCCTGAAGTTCAATAACATACCCAGGATATCACTTAGTGTTGGGTATTCTCTCTCAGTTTTTCCTGGAACATAGTGAGAATTTTGGATCAGCAGATTTAATTATTGTATTTCAGAAATATTTCCTCATACTTCTGAAAATACCTAATTTTGAAGTTCCCTTTTTCAGGAATATCAAGTAATCCTTTTTTAATTGCCTAAATGTCACAATCTTTCCACCCCTACATTCACTGTAACTGATTCAAGCTTTTCCTCTAAGTCAGTAATTTAGCTGAATTGTGCCTGGTCTATTTCTTGGTTTTCCTAACTTATTTTCTGTATTGTATTATTTCTGATTTTCATTTGGTTTCCTTAGCTGTGTAACGTCCTTTCTCTTGTCATTGTTTTATATTTTCTCCCAGCTCTCATTTTATTAATGTTCTTAACTTAATCTATAACATGGAACACATGTAAAGAATTTTCTTCTCTGATTTATTTGGTTATATTCTCTTCCAGACTAGGTTCTTCATCTGTCTCACCCAAGCCATAATCCTTTTTTTTTTCTTCTGCTTTTATTAAACTCTTGAATTTACATAGCGGATACACTGCTTCCTTCTATCTTATTCATATTTAACATAGTTTGCTCTTTTCAAATTTTCCATTTGTCCAGGTATAATTTGAGTGAATTCTCTTGGACTCCCTTCTCACTGTATCTGAGTTTGAGAACTGGGATATTGCAATTTAATCTACTTTTCTATAGCCTGAGTACGCATTGAAGATAAAGACTGCTCCTCTGAACCTATGCAACACCTGGGCTCTGCTTTCTCTTCCAAGATTCTGGTAAACTCCTACCCTTGTTAGGAGCATACCCTGTTCCTGAGACAAAATGCCCTGTAATTTTGAATCTTATTCAGTGCAGGTTCCTGGAAAATGGCAAGCCCTAGGGATTTTTCCTACCTCTACTCAGGTCCTGCAGGTAGTAGGGACAGGTTTCTGTTCGTGATGATTTTATCTTGACTGAATTTCCCCAGATTCGCTTAGCCCACTCACCCTTTCATATCATTTCTTTTCAGATTCGTGTCTTTGCATCAAAAAGTATTAATGAGAATCTTTGGTATTTTGTCTACTTGGCTTCTTTCCCCAGTAGGGCTTTGGGTAGTGGAGATGAGTTCAGATGCCATTCTCCGCAGCTTATTTCCACTTCACTGAGTACAGTTTTTGAAGTTTATGGCACGAGGTTGTACTTAATTTCTCGACTGATGTCTCCATGATTTGGGGTGGGGGGCTGGTCCTTACTATTCTCTTGCTCATTTCATTAGCAATGGTGGAGAGGTTCTGCGATCCAGATTCATTCTGTCATCTTTATGTGAACGTCCTCTCCAGGGTCGGTCGAATGCATGTATTCTGGATATGCTCCTATCGGAACTGCAGCTTCCAAAATCTGGAAACAAATCTCAATAGTTTTACTAAAGATAAAGAAAAGCGATGAAAGCGAGCACTCACATGGACCTCCCCACAACTAACATCCACACGGCACTCTGCGTTTACACAGCGTCATGTTCATGAAGCCCCAGCACCGAAGCCTGACCGAGAGGGTGACGATCGTACCTACTCCACAGACGGGTAGACGGAGCCTGTCATCCTTAAGGACCCTGTCCAAGGCCACAACGCCGAGGGCTGGGTGGCAATGAGGCCAACAGGAAAGCGGGAAGACGGCCCGGAAGACGACGGGCCCGGGGCGGGCTCCTCAAGGGGTTGCTGAGCGGCTGCGGCCGCCATCCCGCCCGGTAGCCGTGGCGCCCGCGCTTGCGCCCTGCGCGGTTGCCACGGAAACGGAGGCGGTGGCGCAGGCGCGCAGCGTGCGGGGAGGGGGGGCGGAGGCGCGCGGGCGAGGCCGGAGCGGAATGGCACTGCGCAGGCGTGGAGTCTCCGTTGCTAGGGCCCCCTCGCGCCCGGCTGAGCGGCCCGAGGAAGGTTCCGGAGTGTCGGGGTCGCGACGGGAACCACCAAAGCCCACACTGTGTGCCTCGCACCCCGGGCTGGTGGAGCGCCCCCGGCTGCCTTCTTTTCCGGCTCGAAGTGAGAGGCTATCCCTGGTCCCCGACCTTCCCTCCGGAAGGACTCCCCCAACCCTGGGGCGCTCCTGGCGGTGTCGTGACTCCTGCGGCCGGCCACCCTTCGGAGGGCGACGGAAGAGCTTCCCGGCGGGCGAGGGAAAGAGGGAAAGTAGCCAGTCATGTCGAACGCGTAAGTGATGGGCTCCTGGCCAAAGCCATGGAGTGGCCAGAAGATACCTTGCTCTGCTTCTCTTCTACTCTCCTTTACCCTCCTCTCCACTGCACTCTCCTCCTCTCCTTCTTTTTTACCTTTTAGCAAATTCAGATATGTCTAGGATAGAGTATCAGCTTCTTGTGGGCAAGGAATATCATATGCTCAGGTCTCCCCACTTCCCTGCGCATCTCCCCCACCCCATGAGGATGAGCGCTGGGCCAGGCCCATGCTTACACCCACTGAGGAAGCAGTATGTCATTTTTGCCTGCTTTTCTGTTAATCTTCCACGGTCTTAAATGGATTGCATTCTGAAAACACCCTGCAGAAATTTCAGTCGAGAAGGATCTTGAGGAAACATTATTGTACTTTGCTTTTCAGCAGGGACCCCCAGTCAGGTGCATGGTACTGAAAAGTGTACACACCTAGCACTGTACCCTTACACAGCACTTGCACTACAGTGACCTCATTCGGTCCTCATAATGATAATTTCAAGCATGTAGTGCTGACTCTGTAGGCATTGCTCTGTTTGAAATATAATAACTATTCATCTTAACAGCAATGCTTTAATGTAGGAGCTATTCATATTATTTCCATTTTATAGATGAGGAAACTTAGGTACAAAGAGGCTAAGGAGCTCAAACAGTAAGTAGATGGTGCCAGCCCAGACACTATAGCTCCAGCCTTCACTCTTGCTAACCCCATTTGCTAGGCGTGGAAATGGGAGCAGAGAGGTTAAGGACCTGCCAAGGTTTTGGGGGTGGGGGAGATCAGGAATTCAGTTTGGGGCCTGTTGAATTTGAAGTGCCTGTTGGACATCAAGTGGAGATCAAATAGGCAGTTGAATATTCAGGTCTTGAGTACAGGAGAAAGACTATGTGTGAAATACAAACTTGACAACTGTTGGCATGTGATGGTTTTTATGAGACATTGAATGAGCACAGATCAATAAGAACTATAACGACTAAGCCTTGGGACATCCACAGTAAGGGACTGGGGAAAAGAGGAAACACCAGCGAAGGAATCAAAGGCGTGATCAGAGAGGAAGAAGCAAAAGGAAGAAGCAAAATGAAGAGGTTGTGGTGCCCTGGAAGCCAGGTGGAAAAAAACAAATAGTGTTTCTAGGAAGAGGGAGTAACAGACTGTCAAGTGCTGAGACAAGTCAGAGGAGAACTGAGAAGTGACTGGTGATTTAGCAACGTGGAGTCCAGCTGTGAGCTTGACAGGAGCTGATTCAGTAAAGTGATGGATAGAGAGATTTATGCAGGTGAGTGTCGGAGAGAGTAGGAGGAGAGAAATTGTAGACAGTGAGCATGCAAACTTTCTAAAGGACTTCTGCTGCAAAGGAAAAGGAATAGGGTGGTAGCTAGTGGCAGGGAATGAGGGTCCGGAGAAGGATTTTTTTTTTTTTTTTTTTTTTGAGGTAGGAAGACAGTAGCATGTTTACTGAGCAGAATGGCTGACTGGCAAGAGAAATGGAACCACACAGGAGGAGGAGGGAGAGGTGGGTGACATCCTTGGTAGTGAGAGGGTATGGGATCCAGCAGATAGCTCGAGGTACTGGCTTTATTTGGAGGAGCTCAGTCATTTAGCAGCAGGAGCAGGTGGGAAAGCAGGATCAGAATGCTATTCGGTGGACAGATGCCCTGGTGGGGGCCTGGGAAGAAAATGGTAGATGGTAGATGAGGAGGATATTGGGGGCAGTGGTGATAGCCTCTGATGCAATGGGATACAAAGCTAGAGAGTGTTGGGGGGAGGGAGGGAGAATGGTCTGGAGGTGCAATGAAGAGCAAGGAAGCCCTTGACCCAGCCCCACAGTCAACAGCAGGAGGGCTCTCGGGGGAGCTCAGCGGAGAGCCAGGCCTCTCTTAGAGCAAGAAGAGTGAGGGAGTATTTGGGAGGAAGGATGACAAACTAGATAACAGTGGAAGAATTAGGTTTTATTATGTATAAAATAACTTGGGGAGAATTCTTATTTTGCAATATTTAGATTTCCTATGGAAGTACATAGTATGTCTGAATAGTCACGTCTTTTCCCCTCCCACATCCTCAGTTATAGGAAAACTGCCAATCTGTGTGAATATTGATCTGGTAGTTTTCAGCTATCATATTCAGTCTTCACCCACAATCCTCTGACTTCAACATCTGTACCATTTCTAGATCATATGCTTAAGTCTGAAACCAATCATATACTTTTCAAAAAAGTTAGATAGTCTCATGTATAAAATACTACCTTCTCTTTGCAAAGTGCATTTAAAATTTCAAGAACACTTTCACATCTGTTATTCCATCCCACAACAGTCCTTCAAGGTATACAGAGTTGGCGTCATGATCCAGACTTGCCACTTGAGGAAGCGTAGGCACAAGGTATTTCCATGACCTGCCTGAGATGAACTACCTCAGGAGACAGGTTCTGTTTAAACTCAGAATATTTGTACCTTTAAAAACCACTTTGCCACACCCAAGAAAGAGAAAAACATATGTCCGCACAACAACATGTACAGGAGTGCTACAGAAGCATTGCTGAGACTGCAGGGCAGTGAGGGGGCAGGACTCACACCCAGCCTGGGGCCGAGGGGAAGGTGGGGCTCCACAGGCTGACGTGGCTGAGGTGCAGTGGCCAGGTCCCTGGCAAGCCAGCGAGTGGTGGCATAGTCAACCCCACACGGGTATGCGGTCACGTGGAGGGGCTTCAATTCAGGGCAGCAGGGGAACTGAAGATGGGGAAGCCAGAGGCAACCTCTAGGGAAAAAGGCCTGGCAGGAGATGAAGCTGTCTTTCAGCACCGAGGAAAACAGGTAAAGATGCTCCCATGGCTACTTAATATTTCCCCATCAACCAACAGCCTTTGCCTGGTCTCTCCAGACAAGGGTCACTGGAAAGACAGCAGGTAAGGAAGAAAGAAGCTGCAGCCCAGATGCCGCAACCACCAGGACTATCTTCAGCCAAAAGTTCTGGTTAGGGGTCAGCTCTATGTGGCCCTGGAGGATTGCTGCTTCTCTGACTCTCACTGAAGCCAGTAAGTGCACTTACCTGGGGTAATGAGGCCCCCTGGCTGGTCTGCCCCATCACAAGAGTCCAGGCATTCTGAGAATCCAGTTGCGTTCTGTTTCATGAAGTCGGCTGTGGATTGCCCCAGGTGGAAGCAGCAGTGTCCCCAACCCAGAACCCCTTGCTGTGATGGATTTGGGTCTTCCTTGTGAAGGCGAGATCACCACTGCACCCTGTGGAGAGGGCCTCCGTAGGGCATTGTGCAAACTCAATGCCTGTTGAGGTGGGACATGTCTTGAAGTTTAAGATGCCTTTTACCTTTTACTGTCTATTCCACCCCCACAGTTAAAAATTATGGCTTGATTTATTGATAGTCTCAGTATATTATTACTAAATACTTGGTAATATTAAATCTCTATGCCAACCTCAAGAGAGTTTTCTG